GCGGTCTGTTCTTGGATTTCGGCGCGCGGAGCCCGTCGTCGGGCCTGGGGGCCATTGAAAAGGGCTCAGGGGCGAAAAACCACTCCCGGCGAAGGGGCGGGACCTTCGGGCCCGCGGGTCGAAAACGACGACGACGACCACGACGACCCAGAGATCCGAGGATGTGATGTTTTCAATCAGGCGCTTTTTCTTGGATTTTGGCCTGCGGGGCCCGTCGGGCACGGATCTCTGGGGACGACGACGCTCGGCAAGCGTTGTCCCCCCCCGGATCCAGGTCCCCGGAAGCCACCGAAATTATTGAAGGCCCCTGGAGGCCGGAGGGGACAACGCTTGCTCGCGGTCGCGTCGTCGTCGCCGCCGCTGCTGCCGCGGCCGCCGCCAACGACGCGCCGCCGCCGCCGCCACGCGGCCCGCGCCGCGCGGCGGCGCGCGGCGCGGCCGCCCTGGACGACCGCAGCGGCCTCCTCCGCGACCTCGGAGGCTTGGCGCGGGGGGGGGGGGGGGCGCGGGGGCAGGGGGGTGGGCGCAGGAGGGGTGGCGACTGCGTCCCCGGCGAAGGTGCGAACGAGATCATTTGGCGGTTTTGGCGGCGTGATTTTTTCTAGCAAACGGGAGGTTGCATTTGAGACGCGTTTTGTTCCTCATCTCCAAGGATGGGGGGCGGGGGCGCGGGGCAAAGGGGGGCAGGGGGGGAGAGGGGGGGGGAGGAGGGGCGGCGAAGAATGAGACGAGGAGGAGGATAAGAAAAAGGAGGAGGGCGACAATTGTTTGACATCCGCGCGTCTGCCAAGGCCCAAGGCGCGCGCTCTGGGGGGGCGTCGCATCTCTCCAAAGGGACGCGCAGGTGCACGAACAGGGCGCCAGCACCAGGGAGACCGAGCTGGCCGCCGGTCGGGCCCACTGGAGAGAGAGCGGCGGCGGCCAGCGTTGAAGTAAAAGGAAAAACAGGAGGGGATGAGGAGGAGGGGGAGCGGAGGGGAAGTAGGAGGTGGATGAGAGGGAGGGGGGGGGGAGGAGGAGGAGAAGGAGGAGGAGGGGGGGCGGGGGGCGAAGGAGGAGGAGAAGGAGGGGGAGGAGGAGGTGGAGGAGGATCTTGGCGGCGCGGCGGCGGACGAAGGATAGGGGAAGAGGCCGAAAGGCAAGGCGCGCCGTCCGCCCCACGCGGCAAAGTCGGGTTGGTCGAAAGGGGGGGATAGCAAAAGGCATAGCCAAGGGGGGTCTTGAGAATCAGCTCGCGTAGCTGATTTCCCCCCCGGCGCCCCCCGGCGCCGGAGGCGGCTATGCATCGACGGGTGGGCCCTTCGGTGGGGCCAGCTGCGTGCGACAGATTTCGCACCCCCCCTTGTTCCCAATCCCTTCCATTCGTCCGGCCCGACACATCGAAGAAGGGAGGGAGTAGAAGGAGTAGAGGGAGGAGGAGGAGAAGGAGGAGGAGGAGGAGGAGGAAGAGGAGGAGGATGGAGAGGAGGAGGAGGAAGAGGAGGAGGAGGGGGAGAAGGGGAAGGAGGGGAAGGAGGAGGAGGAGGAGGAGGAGGAGGAGGAGGAGGAGGAGGAGGGGTTTGCCCTGCGAACACTGGCGACCACCACCAGGAGACTGTGCCAGGAGGAGGAGGAGGAGGAGGAAGAGGAGGAGGGGGAGGAGGAGGGGGAGGAGGAGGAGGAGGAGGAGGGGCGGAGGGGGGGGAGGGGAAAGGGGCGGTGGAGAAAGGGAAACGTTGTCAACCAATCACGCCCTAAGGGGCTGGTGCGAATTACATATGATGGCTTGAATTACCCAGGTGATGCACGTTTTCGATATCGAGCCCGCGATCTCGTGGTTGCGAAAGCCAGATTTGGCGCGCAGTCGCGCTGGCGCGTGCCAAGCGTAGACGGCGTCGGGGGCCAGCGCGGCGACCAGCGCTGTAACGCGCAGGGGGGACTGCGGCGGCGGAGCATAGACACCTCCTAGATGGGCCCGAGTAGATGGGTCGGAGGATCTCGCCGGATCGCCGATACATCGGCGAAACGTCGGCGATGCACGAGCGATGCATCGCAGACGCCGGCGGTGCATCGGCGACGTCGGCGCGGCGCAAATCAGGCTCCGCATCGAACCGCATCGGCGATACATCGGTTATGCAGCGTGATCCTCCGACCCCATCTCCTCCGACCCCATGCAGGAGGCTCAGAGAGAAACCGTCGCGAAGTTGAGGGGGGCGCGCGGTGGGTGAGCAGCATGAGGATGAGGGGCGCAGCCGGCGCAGGAGGGAGGTGGAGGCACGCTGGCAAGATGCCGCCCGCTAGGAGAATGCTCGCGAAAAGGGCTTGGTCTCTTGTCGCCAGATTCTGGGCCGAGAGCGGTTCCACTTGAGTGGCCTTTTCTTCGTCGCGCGCCTCGATGGGGGCATGTCCCAACCTTGCAAATGAGGAAGAAACCGCCCGTCAAACACAGCCGCCCCCGGCCCGCAACCTGGTGGTGAGAAGCCAAGCGCACTTCAAGAGCAACTGGAACCTGCTGCTGCCGAGACGCGTTTTTTTTTTTTGCCGCCGGGCCCCGCGCCAAGAGCGGTTGCACTTGAGCGGACTTTTCTGCCTCGCGCTCTTCAAGGGCATCATGTTCCAAACCTGCAAGTGAGGAAGATAACACCTTTCAAATGCAACCGGTGCCAGCGCGCGATCACCAGCCCATCCAGAAACGACGCCCAGCCGAGTTGAGGTGATCAGGGATATGTCGGAACGAAGAGGGGCAGCCGTTATCGGTCGAAGGAGGAGGAGGAGGAGAGGATAATGGGGAGGAGGAGGATTGATGATGAAGAAGGGAAAAGGATGAGGAGCAGGCGGATGATGAGAGGAGGGGGGATGAGGGAGGAGCGAGAAGCAGCAGGAGGAATTCCTTTTTGGATATATCTTGGAAGGCGTTGGCGTTCTCTTGGCGGCCCCCGGGACCTCTTGGGGCGTCTCGGGTGCTTCTGAAGGGCCGTTTGGGGGCCATTTGGGGGCGTTTGGGGGGCCTCGCGTGGCCTCTTGGGGCCATATTTGGGCCTTGTCGGGGGCTTTGGAGGCATTCTTGAAACAATTTTGGAACGGATCGATCAAAGAGGGGGGGGTCCTTATTTTACGGCGCCCCTCTTGAGCCACAATCGCTTGTTGGGGGCCTCTTGAGGCGCTCTCTGGGTGCGTTTGTGCGCTCTCGGGGCCGCTTTGGGGCAATATTGGGCGTCTATTTGAGCCCCCGTGGGACATATTGGAGCCATCCGGAGGCCCCGGGAGCCCATCGGAAGCGAAAGAGGGAGAACACAACAATCTGCGATTTATCTTCAAGTTTCAAACAGGAATTTGGCATCGTAGGAGCCTCTTTGGGGTCTCCGTGGCCACTTGGACCCATCTCGGGGCCAATATGGTCTCTCTCGGAGGCCTCTTGGGGGCCAGGTTGGGCCAACCTTTTGGTATTTTGCTCCATCTTGGAGGCCATCTTGAAGCATCTGGGGCCCTCTCGGGGCCCTCTTGGGCCAAACGCTTCCCAAGGCCGCAACCGAAAAAACCCACACCAATCAAAGTCCCAGTGTTTTTCGGTTCGTTCGTTGATCCATGACGAGGGGTCCTTGATCAGGGTTCCCCTTCTGGGGCCTCTAATGTCGCATTGCGTGTCCCTCCCAGGGCCGTCTTGGGCTCTGCTTGGCCCCCTCTTGGGGCCCTTTTCGGGCCTTCGTGGCGCCATCTTGAGGCCTGGGAAGGCAATCGGAAGCGAACGAGCGAAATCCCCAAAGTTGTCGCTTTAGGTGTTGGAAGGATTTGGGTTTCTTGTGGGCCTCCTGGATTTGGGCTACGTGGCAACCTGGACACGTCTTGAATCGATCTTGGGGCCTCTTGGAACCTGTTGGAAACCTTTTGGGGCGTCTCGGGTGCTTCTGAAGGGCCGTTTGGGGGCCATTTGGGGGCGTTTGGGGGGCCTCGCGTGGCCTCTTGGGGCCATATTTGGGCCTTGTCGGGGGCCTTGGAGGCATTCTTGGGGCCATTGTGTAACAGATCGATCAAAGAGGGGGGATCCTTATTTTGCGGCGCCCCTCAATGGACGGCGACGGCGACGGGGGCGGCGGCGGCGACGACGACGGCGACGACGAAGGCGGCGACGACGACGACGACGGCGACGGCGGTGGCGACGACGACGGCGACGAAGAAGGCGACGACGGCGACGGTGGCGGCGGCGGCGGTGGCGGCGGCGGCGGTGGCGACGCCAGCAGCAGCGGCGACGATGACGGCGGCGGGGACGCCGGCAGCGGCAACGGCAGCGGGCGACGGCGACGACGACGATGA